AGTTACATGACCTTTACAAACCTAACCCTTTTGGAAAAAAACCCAGGGGTGTTTAAACTTGACAGCTTTAAGACTTGCGTGCTTCAAATGCCAGAGTTTCTGAACCACCATTTGGGTTGCTAAACAAGAGCGTTGTTAAGTGAGTTTAACCACATTTTACAAGTTGGCCGTGCCCTCCCAGTCACATGGATGGCAAGCCACTCCCACAAAGCAGGCCATACCTACAGAAGAGGTTCTAAAAAATTTTGAAACCCACCACTGCTCTACAGACACACACATACACATACATAAGAAAAAGTAAGCGTAAATAATGCAAACTAAATTGGACTGGAGAAAATGAAAAAGAAAGAAAAGCTAAATGCAATAAGAAAAAAAAAATTGAAGAAAAAGGAGACCGTTACAAAGAAATATAAAGAAGTAGCTCCAATATTTTTCCCAGCAGTAAATTATATTTTAACCTCTCTCTCTCTCGTTACATTGGGGCTCTCTTCTTTCTATAATATAGCTTCATCAAAACCATAAATCACAATTTTTTAAAATTCTTTTACTAAAAATAATCTATCGAGGGTTTCCAGCCTGGTATTTCTCTGGGGTTTCTCCCATGGCTTGAATTGATAGGCTGATAGATGGCAACAATTCTGGTCACACTGATTCATCTTGGGAGTGGGGGAGGGTTCAATGTGGATAGACAGGATAAACTTTGAAATAATTCTACTTCCCACACAAACCATATCACTAAAACCACCAAAGGTTTCTCTGCTGTCTTGGACATGTACTAAGTTCAATAAAAACTTGAATAAATTGGGGGAAGGAGCTGACGTCGCGACGATACGGACATGCGATCTCGGAGCTCCAAGATTGCAGCCAATACTTTTATTGCTGGGTGGTCCATCTGGACCTAAACTGTCCCGAAGAGACGGTGACAGGGAAGAGTACGTCTTGCTGATCTCAGGGACATCGCAAAGTCCTTGACTGATACAAGAGAATCTCTTCTAGCCAGTGATAGAAGCTTAGCCCCAAGCTGCTGAAGTCGGGACAGCTCCGCAACCGGAGGAAAGCGGAAAGAGAAAGTGTGTCCATCTGGTAAGGAAATTTTATTTTTTCAAAAGAGACTGCCCAAAAAAGATTAAAACCAAATTAAACTTGTAAAGAAAAGAAAATAAGCGGCGAAGTTAAGCTATTTTGGACGGTGTGTTATCCTTTTTTTTAATCATCTTCTATGGATGGAACACTTCCTACTTTTTAAAGTGAAAATATTGGCTTTTCTTCTACTACTTTTTTTAATCTATGGATTAAATCTTTTTTTTTTTTACTTTCACAATATTGGCTTGGATGGTTTTTTTCTTTTTATTTTGTTTCATTTAAGAGCCTTGTTTCTTTTAAGCTTGGAATATAAAGAGGATATAAAAGGTATATAAAGAGTGCAGTAACATCAGAAGGAAAAGAAGTTACACTGTCACTTATAGTTTATAGTTTATAGTTTATAGTTTATAGTTTATA